TTCTAATCATTGATATGTTTGGAGTAAGGTCTACTATTTTAATATTAGTTCTATTTTTCCTTTCTATTTTCCTTCTTTTGAATTATTTAAACATTTTTTAGTATTCCATTTTAATTTATTTTTACTATATCTCTTTGTGTAGTTTTTGTAGTGTTTTTTTCCCCCTAGGAATTAGAATATACCTAACTTTTCAGTCTATGTAAGATAGTTACCACTTTAACTGGAATGTAGACATCTTACCATTTAGGCCCCTTTACACTTTCCTCTATATTTAGTTATTTCATGTATTTACTCCATGTAGATTTAAAAAACTTTCATACAATGTTATATTTACTTTCAACCATAAAAGTATTTTATAAAACTGAAATTTTTACTATTTGTTGTTCTTCATTTATTCTCACTGTTCCCAGTTTCCTTCTGATATCACTATCCTTTTGTCTTAAGAACTAGAACATATTATCTGACAATGAATTCTCTCAGTTTTCTTTAATCTGAAATTTTAAAAAATTCTTTATTGTTGAAAGTATTACATATGTCTCCCTTTTCCCCCATTGACTTCTCCCTGCCCGCTCCCTGAAATTTTTCTTATTCCTGAAGTATATTTTTACTGGATGTAGAATTCTGGTTTGAAAGTTCTTTTCATTTAGTGCTTTACTATGTCATATCCTTCTGGTGTCTATGGTTTCTGATAAATCTGTTGTCACTCAAATTGTTGTTCCCTTATAATATAGCATTTCTCTATGGCTGCTTTTGATTTTTTATTGTTTTGTTTTGTTTTAAGCAATCTGATTATGACAAGTCTTAAAGTGAATTTCTTTGAGTTTATCTTATTCAGGTTTACTGAGCTTCTTAAATTTGTTATGTCTTGTGGCAAGTTAGGGAAGTTTTCATCCATTATTTCTTCAAGTATTTTTCTATACCACACTTTTCCTCCTCTTCTAGGATTCTCGTGACATAAATGTAAAACATTTTGTATTGTCCTACAGGCCCTGTAGTTCTGTTTATTTTCTTAATCTTTTTTGAAGTTTAATCAATCCTATGTTTTTCAGTGTGGCTAATTTCCATTGTTCTATCTTCAAGTTTACTGATTTTCCTCTATCTTTATTCTGTCCATCCAACGAGTTTTTATGTTGAATTTTTTGTTTTAGTTCTAAAATTTCCATTTGGTTATTCTTTATGCCAAGACTTTTTGTGTTTCCATTTGTGTCAACAGTATTTGTAAGTACTTTAATTCTCACATGGAAATTTTCCCTTCTGAAAGAGCTCCTGATATTGGCCTGCTTCCTTGCTCTTTGACTTTTCATCATAGAGTCAGGTGCATAATGTACAAAATAAAAATTAGGTTACTTTAGTTTGTTGCTGCTATGATTCCAGATGAATGGCAATCTACTATGTTCATATTAGAACAGTTGCTTTGGATATTTTTTCTCATTTTATACTTGGAAAGAAAACTAAACATTGATTCAGAGACTTGGGTATGAATTTTGCCCTTGCTAATTTCTAGCACTGACAAGTCTCTTCACCTCTCTGGGAAACATCTTCATGAAGATGTTTTAAGCAATCTGATTATGACAAGTGAAGGTTGAATGGATCTTTGAACTGCAATCCTTCTCTAACACTTGAGGGGTCTCTTGTCTGTGGGGCATGGGACAGCATCCACATTGTCCTTTAACATATTTCTCTCTTGCCCTTGTTGGTCTTGGGACAATGATGGGGACTGCTTGATGATATTACGTAAACTTAAAAACACTGGAATTCTTAGAAAGCAAGAATACCATTGACCAAACAGCCACTGGAAGCAGGAAGATTTTAGTCTAGAAGGAAATTAGATTTTCCATATCATGAACAGATGGATGTTAATATCTTTTTAAATTGAAGGTGATATAACCAACTTTCTTCTGACAACAGTTCAGTAAACTTTACAATTAAGGAAGTCTCAACATCTACTTTGAATCCCTTCTGCTGACGTTTCTCCAAGTCTACCTACCTCTTGTTCTAGCCTTGGCAGAACCTTTCTGGCCTGTTCTGGGATGTTCTGCCCTCCACTACTGTTTTCTTTCCTTTCCACAGCTACTTCAACTTTCAGCTGCCGCTGTGGACAAAGGACGCAGCGTAGGGGAGGTTCTGCAGTCAGTGCTGCGCTACGAGAAGGAGCGACAGCTGGATGAGGCGGTGGGAAACGTTACACGGCTGCAGCTGCTGGACTGGCTGATGGTGAACTTGTGATGGGAACCCACCCACTGCTTTCCCCTTTTCCAGAAGTGGGCCCAGCCTTGCCCCCTCCCTTCATTTTCACTTCCACAGCTCCCCTCTCTATATCCTCACAGAGCCCTAACATTATCTTCATCCCACTCACATCAAAGACATGTCATCTTATGCTAGTCACTGGATTTTGCAGATTTTCCTGTCCATGCGAGCAAGGACATAAAATAAAATAAAATTACATTAAAGGGCTCCTGTGTATGGTTTCCTTGGGATCCAATGTGCCACAACCTTTTGCAGTGGGGGTTCAGGATCTGAAGAAGGGGCCTCACACAAATGAAAATGCTAGACAAGAAATATGAATTTAGAAGGCTTTGGGGGCCAGGAGTATCTCTTTCGTGAAGAGTACACCAAAACTTTGGCCAATCCACTTTTTATTCAGTTTTAGATACACATCTTGCCCTCAGTAAAGCACAGCAAACAGGTAGCAGACAGACCATCTCAAAGGTCAGTAAAGATCAGTAAAGATTTACTTTGAGGCTATCAGGTCAGGAAATTGCTTCAAGCCATCGCTATCTCAATATGGAACAATTGGTGCATAGCTTTAACACTGCTAAAGCTCAAGGTTCATCAGCCTTCCGTGTTCCTTGATGCACTCTCATGATAGTATTGACAATGGATGGCTTCCCGCACCAATGGGGCAATAAGGTAAAGAAATCTCAGGGATGAAAATATAATCAGATGGATAGCATAAGAAAATGTATCCCCCATTCTGTCACAATTTGCAGCTCCCCTTCTTTAAAGTGTTCCCTAAATATAGGAAGTCAGAATTTATCAACTCATTTCAGTCTTCTATAACCATGCAAATTGGGAAATATTTTTAATGTCCAACCTAAATCATTCTAATTATAGTATCAAGGATTTGGCTTCAAGGACAAAACTGTCCACCTCAACTTTATCCATGGTTGAAGATAGGTCGAGAAGACTCGAGATTTCTTGCCAGTTCTGTACCTTCCTGGTTATAAGACATGGGACAAGTTACCTCTCCCATGATACTGCTCTGACTTAACCCCTAGACTGCCGGGGAGTGCGATCGTGCTCCTCCTGTCTTTCGCCAAAAGTGCCGGGAGTGCTATCGCGCTCCTCCTGCAGTGTCACTATTAGATGCTAGTAGTTCACTCTTTATTGACAGATGGCACCTAAGTGCAGATTACTTATGATGCCGAATGTTTGTAGTTCTAAAATTGACCACTGGCATTTATCTGCCTAATTTTTTACAGGTACTACGATTTTATGAAGTTTACTCAGATTTTGTAGCCCTAAAACTTTGAAATAGTGTCCAGTTCTAAGTCTGCTTTTATTAGTGATGACGATATTACTAAATATGTCAATTCTTGCTGTGAAGATGACGATTTTGTGGAAGATATTGGAGAAGGGTGTCCCTCTAGTTTAACATTATATGTTTTGTTCAAAATTTTTTTTCTACTCGTATTTAATAAAACAATCAGCAAACAATATATGTTAAAGATGAAAACAAATGTAGTAAAGGTTTTCTTAAATTTTTGAATATGTAACTTTTACTTGCGATTCATAATTTTTTTCCTAAACTGCTGTAAAATCAGCAAAAATGCCTTGGCAATTTTAGCATAGTTTCTAGGATATTGGTTGGCACTCAAAGGGTTAATGTCCGTATCACCCCATTTAAAAAGCATTTTGTTTTTATCCTGACCTATACAATTTTATATTATTGATCCTTCCTTCTAGAAACTTTCTCCTCCTTTGGTTTCTAATTTTCCTGTCTCTTTGGAACTCTACTTTTGTCAACCACTTGCATATTTATCTTTCCTAGGACTCTCTTGACCCTCTGCTATTTTCACCCTGTATTATCTTTCCTGCCTGACTTTATGCAAACCCATAGCTTCAGTTCTCTGGTGTGTCTCTTCATAGAATATTACACAGTGATTAAAAGGAAAACTATGAAGCCAAGTATATTTTTCATGTCTATGGCATTACGATCTTGAGTTTTTTGTAAAATTTTATAGGTACTAAAATTACAACATATAGAGATTATGTACACATTAGCTAAGGACTAGAAAGGCAAAAAAGTAAATGAACTTAATTAGACTATGGGAGTGGTGGGTGGACGAACACATCCTGCTATTGTGGTCCTAGAGAAGCATCAGACTTGGTGCTATCACTTGCACCAGCATCTCAGTATGGACTTGTGACCCGTCTGGCCAATCAAGGATCCCAATATCTCAGACATAGTGATTGGTTTAAGACCAATCATTTCTAAAACTTCCCTGGCAGCAAGGAAGACTGCATATTTGATTGGATGATAATGATAATCTTAACTCTGGGCACAGCTTATCTTCAGAATGAGGTTAACCATAAAAAGAAGCAAGGTTAAGATGTAGAGGGAGTCTGAGCCCTATGAACTTGTTTGAATTCCTAGATTCTGCTGTGCCTGAAACTACACATACCCTTCTGATTGCCCAATTATATAAACCAATAAATGTCCTTTGTTGCTTAAACTAGTTTGAATTCAGCTTCTCTCATTTTCAAACAAGAATCCTGTCATGGGCAAAAAAAATTTTTAGAGTTCTATTAGTGATGATATAACTGAGTGTTTAACATCCCCTCCACACACACAAACCCATACAAACACACCCCCATTGCTTTATCTGGTTGAGGGCATAAGGAGGGAATATAGATGCAAGGACATTCTCTCCCACCCCCTCATATCAGGAATCATGCCAACTGGCCATGTGAATAGAGTTGTTTTTGTTTTGTTTTGTTTTGTTTTGTTTTTTAAACAAACCTTTATGCATTAAAAACAACAATCTTATGTATTGTACAATATAAGTGTGGTCTCTAATACAAATCATTGGTGAAAAGGAACAGGACACGCCCTCAGCAGAGGTCATACAATAGGTGGTAAAATGCTTGTGTTCTTGGGGGAGGAGTTTTTGCTTTGTTGCTCTGTGGAGGTCTTGGACTCCTCTGGCCTGACAACTGCCTCTGGTTTACTGGAAGCTTCTGCTAGGTGAGGCAGCTGGACAACTTCAGCAGCATGCTGGAGAGAGCCCTGCTGATCACCTGAATTTTGAAACTGCTTGGTGGTGCCATCTTTTATTTTGTGTATGGTCTCTTTGATAATCACATCTGCTGAAGGAGAGAGAAGACAAAGGAGCAAGTGTTCAAATGTGAATTCTAACTGTCCATTAGCAGGAAAATTCTGGACAAAATGATATTAAATCAATTAATTTATAAAGCACATTCTATGTGGCAGGCCTTCTTCTAAGGACTTTATATTTACTAATTCATTTGATCCTTTCTCCACAACCATAGAAAAAAGGCATAACTCTTATTCTCATAAATGGAAAAACTGAGATACAGAGAGGTAAGTAAATTGCCCAAGGGCCCACACCTGGAAAATGAGAGGGCTTGAATTTAATTCCAGGCAGTCTACTTCCAATGACCATGTATATAACCAGTAGTTTATTTGTATATAAAAGATACTAATTCCATGATCTGATAAAAATTCAAAAGGTAATTATGGGGCTGCAGAAAAGGACACAGTGGGGGAAAAAAGTAGCAGAAAGGGAATTGAAGATAAGATGAAAAATGGAAAATCCTAACAACAAGGTAGCAAAAAAGGGCTACAACCAAGTTTCCTGAAAGGAACATCCCAAAAGTAAGAAGTGGCAGGCCAGTAGTGATGTAGCCAGAATAATTATCCAAGGTTGAGTTCAGAGAAGCTGACATGCAATCCTCCAGAGATGCCTACCTCCTGGACTATGAGAAAAAGATTTGTTATTTGAGGGGCAGTACCTTTTTTATCCAAATGGTGATGCCCTTGAACCTTGTCTTTTCTTGCCTCAGAGGATAAAGGGAGATTGAGTTTCCTCAGGGTCTGGAGCCTGGGCCATGTTTTGAGATTCCGTGAATCATGAATCCAAGCATGCTTGAGAGCCTGGTCAGGGGTCATGCGAAGAGAAGGTTCCCATCTACACACCAACAAAGCCCAGCATGGATTATTGCTTTATTTTTAATAATGAAACATTTTCAAAGACTCCAATAAAAAATCTAAATAAGGAACAATATAAATGGTTCATTTTAAAAAGCCCATTTAAGCTATGTAATAACTCAAAGATACTAAAGAACAGAGATTATTACATATAATTTTAAAGTATTGGAAACAACTATTGGATAATAATTTTTGGTAAATGTGTATGACAAGCCAAGGAATGTAATAGAGTTCAAGTCTCCCAGAGTTCTAGAAATTTCCTTATAAGAAATATAGGAAATCTTAACCAATGGGATTTTGGATTTGTAAACTAAGAAGATCAAAACAAAAAGATGCTTAATTTTAATTCCCAAACTACAGAATTTGGACCTACAAATATATCACAAAGAATATTATAGCATGGCTGGTGTTGTCAGTGGTTGAGCATCGATCCATGAACGAGAAGGTCACGATTTGATTCCTTGTCAGGGCACGGGCCCAGGTTGTGGGCTCTATCTCCAGTAGGGGGCATGCAGGAGGCAGCCGATCAATGATTCTCTCTCATCATTGATGTTTCTATCTCTCTCTGAAGAAAATAAAGCATATTTTTTAAAAAAAGAATATTATAGAATGATAGAATATCCTGTATAATAAAGAAGTAATATGCAAATTGACCATCACACCCTCATAAAATGGCTGCCTACAACCAGGCTGGCAGGGGGGTTAGTGAGGAACAACCAAGTGACTGAACAAGCAGGCTGCGTAGGGTGACCAGGCTGGCAGGGGGGCCATGAGGGGCAACCAGGCTGGCAAGGGGGGAGCAGTTAGGGGTGACCAGGCCAGTGGTAGGGGCAGTTAGGAGTGACTAGGGGTGACCAGGCTGGCAGGGGGGCAGTAAGGGGTGACCAGGCCAGCAGGGGAGACAGTTAGGAGTGACCAGGCCAGCAGGGAGGGAGCAGTTTGGGGGGCAGTGCAGGGCGGTCAGGCCAGCAGGGGCAGGAGGGCAGTTAGGGGTGACCAGGCAGGCAGGCAGGAGCCAGTGGTCCAGGATTGTGAAAGGGATGTCCCGGATTAGAGAGGGTGCAGGCTGAGCTGAGGGGACCACCCCCCATGCATGAATTTCGTGCACCGGGCCTCAAGGTAAGATTATAAGGGACTTGGATATAATCCAGCCAAAATTCTAATGCAGTAACAAAATACATTTGACAGAACCCCTAGCGTGGAATCATCCTGTTGTCCTTGAGTAATTTTAGTGGCAAGGCACTAACTCACAGAACCACATTTTTTTAAAATGCCAATTATTTAGTTTTTCATTTTTATTAAGCCAAAATTCACTTCCTCAGAATTTTAAGCCTAGTAACTTTGACCCAGGTCATATATTATGATATATTATGCTACCCATCAGCATTATATGGATTGAGACAACTAATCCATCTTTTATAATTATGCAAGTATCTGAAAAACATTTACACTACTAACTGCTGATCATATGATGTGGTTTCCACCTTCCTAGATAGGCAATTTCAGTTGTTGTCTAACTGCAGGTCATTATATCCTAGACCAGTGATGGCGAACCTATGACATGCATGTCAGAGGTGACACGCGAACTCATATTTTTGGTTGATTTTTGTTTGTTAAATGGCATTTAAATATATAAAATAAATATCAAAAATATAAGTCTTTGTTTTACTATGGTTGCAAATATCAAAAAATTTCTATATGTGACACGGCACCAGAGTTAAGTTAGGGTTTTTCAAAATGCTGACACGCCGAGCTCAAAAGGTTCGCCATCACTGTCCTAGACTCATCAAGGCCATACACAACTGAAATTCCCAGTTTTTGGCAAATAAACTGCTATTAAGCTACATCTGCCCTCTTCTTCTAGACTTCTAGAACTAGAGTTAGTCTATAAAACCTAGGCCAGCACTTTACATTCACCACTGTTAAATTTGTTAAAAACTTCTAGTCTCTCATGCCAAGATTTGCTGATTAGCAAAATATGGAGTGATGAAGTAGTAGGCTCCAGTAATTTGACTACTTCTTGCTAGTTGTGAGCAACCAGCCATTTGCACTAAAAAATAATGTCTTAAAACCAAGATGGCGGCATAGGTAAACACCGGAAATTGCTGCCTCGCACAACCACTTCAAAAATACAACTAAAAGACAAAACGGACATCATCCAGAACCACAGGAAGGCTGGCTGAGTGGAAATTCTACAACTAGAAGGAAAGAGAAAAGCACACTGAGACTCAGAGGAGGTGCAGAAGTAAAGTGCAGAGGTACGGAGGCGCACGCGGCAAGGGCTGGCAACTGAGGAC